TGGCGCAGTGGATACAGCACCGGCCCTGAAGTCAGGAGGACATGAGTTCAAATCCAGCCTCAGACCAAACACTTGACACTAGCTGTGTGACCCTGGGCAAGTCACTTAACCCCAATTGCCTAAAAAAAAAAACAAGGAAAAAAAAGAAAATGACTTGTAATATCTAATATTAAGAACTATACTAAATTTTGCCAAATATACTTTAAGATTAAAGTTTATATTCTATATGTATACCTTATTTCAATGAATTACCTAATGATCTTTAGCACTGTGAAATTTTGAAACAAGCAGCAAAATAAAATAAAATAAACACTGATATTCTAATTTTTCTAGCTGTTTTTGGCCCCAAAGGCTCTCCAAAGCCAAGAACCTGTCAGGTTTCAATATATCAAGCAACAACAGGGAAGGGACAGGAACAATACAATGATTAGAATCTCCTAATTGGCCTCCCTTGCCTCCAGTCTCTCCCCTCTCCAATAGGTACAGTAAGGCACTTCTGCAACATGGGAACAAAAATTCAGTCTTACCATAGTCAAATCATTAAATCTACAGTAAAAATGAAGTCTACATGAAAACAAAATGAACTAATTGAATAAGAATAAAAGGATTATTACTCACTAGTCCTAAATAGCTAAGTTTATTTTTATGATTTAATTTATTTCTTGTAGCACATAGTAGAAAAATTATTTCCCACAATTCAGAAGCAAAATGAACTAAAGTGCTTTTTATTGAATACTAGCATTTTTTCAAGAAATTCTGACTTAATTAAGAGACAGACTGTGATTATGTAACCTTTTTTTTTAGAAAGTATACTTAGAAAGTATACTTCTATATTTAAGCCACTTTGATTTTTTTAATTGCATTCACTGAAAGCATATAAATGCATTAAATTAACACTTTACTAACTTAATTAAGGATCCAGAAAGTTGTCTGAGGGAAGTAGGAGAGTTATTTCCATTGTTTTTATTTACATACCTTTTAACAAATATTATTACCATTGTGACTTTTAACACTTTATTCACAAAAGTTTATTCTGCTCTATGTTAATTAAGGATATATTTTAACTGTGTACAATGCATAAAGGTATTAAATCGAGAATACTCTTTACTTGCAATGAACTCTTAATGGAAAGCAGAAATTGTCTTTTGCTTCTTCTTGTATCCCTCGTACTTACCACAGTGCCTGATCGTAAATACTTAATAAACGTGTAGTAAGGAGCAACGAGGTGGAACAGTGTAGACCTCTGGCCTTGGTATTCAAATACAGCTTTAGACACCTACTAGCTGTATGATTCTGGCCAAGTCACTTTACCCCAACTGCCTCAAAAATAGATAAATGCATAAAAAGACAGATAGATGTGCAGCGATTGATTGAAGAAACCAAACAACTTTACAGTAATGAACAATTTTGTACATGTTTTTTAATGGTTAATTGCTTGATCTCTTTAAAAGTACAGTATGTGATCAACAGCATGTGCTATTTTTCTTACCAGGCACACAAAACTGTACAGAAAATAGTGACAGACGAAACAGCCAAAGTTCCTGGAGAGACTGTGATATATTCTTGATGAGGAACAGAAAAACTAAGTACAACAGAATGTAATACAACACTACCAGAACAACTATTCATGTAGTTTTAAGATGTAATGTCTTTCATATACATTACCCCATTTGATAGCATTACTGTACAAACACAACCCAAAGTCAAATCATGTGATATCAAAGCCAAATCATAACAACCTGGGTTCAAATCCCATTTCATCCTGCTTCCTCATCTGTAAAATAGGAATAAAACAGCACCACTCACAGGACTGCTGTGAACATCAAATGAGATTATATGTGTAACACTATCTGTAAACCTCAGATAACTATCTAGCCCACATCATTTTAATAATAGCTAACACGTATATAGCTAATATGTATATATGTATGTATGTATACATAAATATAGGCCTGCTGTACATACAAAGCACTGTGTTAAGCACTTTACAGATATTATTTCATTTGACCCTCACAATAACCCTATAAGTACAAATGAGTAGACTCCAAAGAGGTAAAGTAATTTGCCCAAGGTCAGACACCTAGGGTCTGATTTGAACCTAGGTTTTTCATGAAACTTATTTTGAGGACAAAAAGAAGTCCTCAAACTGGAAAAGGTTGGAAGTAACTAGTTTAGATCACCAATTCCTCTTTTACATACATATCTGAAGACTCATTATCCCATTTAGATGTCCTCCAGCTTATCAACGTCCATCTCTGAATCTGACCTCTTCTCTCTACTTACAAGCATAAGGACCCTAATTTAGACCATCGTCATCTCTCACCTGCCTATAAGAGCCTCCTGATGGATTTCCTGCACCCATTCTCTCCCTACTCATTTAATCGATCCTCCACACAGGTTCCAAATTCATATTTCTAAAGGGCAAATGTGATTGTTACTCTCCAGCTCAAGAAGTTCCAGTGGCTCCCCCACAGAACAAAGGATAAAATACAAAGACCACAGCCTTTCACAATGACTCCAGCTTATCTTTCCAGGCTGATTTTACATTACTCCCCTTCCCCCCACCCCAATCCCCCAGCCATACTTGCTGTTTCCCAGACACCATCAGAGAAGCCATCTCATGCCTGTGCCTTTGCCCAAGTTGTCTAAAAGGCTCTCCCCTCCTCACTTCCAGCTCTTGGAACCCCTAGCTCCCTTCAGTGTTCAGCTCAATCATCACCTCCGTCAAGAGGCTTTTCAGGATTGCACACTGTCACCCCCCCACCCCATCCCAGTGGATTTTGTATGTATCCTAGGTTTACTTATCTGTAAACAAGTTGTATCCTCCAACAGAACAAACTGGGGAGAAAGGGATGGAGAATTGTCTTGATTTTCTGTTTGCGTCCCAGTACAATCCTGGCACATAATAAGTACTTAAACATGCTTATTAATTTATTTTATTCCAACACATCTGGATTTTTATAACAAAAGTCAAACTATCAATGTTTCACTTCCTCCCCCCAACCTTTTGAACTCAATTTCAAAGTTGAAAGTAGAAACACAGACCACATTTAAGTTGATAGAATATTCGACAAACTACTCAACAGCAGAGGAAACAGAATACTCATTTAAAAGATTAATTTTTAAAATTTTATACTTTGCCTATTTTCTTCCTTTTTAAAGGACTTTTAATTTATTTCATTAACTGATTTCACCTTTGGTAACTGAAGCAGCCCTTTAAAATTTAACATATTAGAACTAGAAAAAGTTTAAAAATCTACTCTAAGCCTCTCTCCTTTTTCTACTATTTTAATAATAAAAACTAGCATTTATATAGCACTTTGAGATCTGTAAAGTGTTTTACCAATATTATTTCATTTTATCCTCACCAGGCAGATGCTATTATTAATCCCATTTCACAGATGAGGAAACTGAGGCACAGAGAGGTGACTTGCCCAGGGTTACAGTGATGGAGGCCACATTTGAACTCAGGCCTTCTTTACTCCATGTCCAGGGCTCTATCTACTTGACTACCTAGTTTACCTGGTGGCCCAAAGGAGGAAACAAGGTCGGCAAACAGATTGAGACCTATACTAGTGCTTCCAACATCTCACTGCTACGCTCAATTGAAACAAACTAAAATAGTAATAATAGCTTAGATTTACATAAAAAGCATTCACAACAACCCTAGAAGCTGTGTATTATTATTTCCATTTTACAGAGGAGGAAAATGGGGATCAGGACATAAGTCTTTTAAATCTGGTTCTCTGTCCATTTCATTTTAGGGCCTAAGACCCAGTAAAAACATTTCACATTGTTCATAACCTAAGAAAGCTGATTTAATAAAGTTCCATTCACATCAGTACTTATAGTTCAGACACTAATACTAAAACATGTCATTTGCTTCCGAGGCAAAATTTAAGAGGTTATTAAACTCTGGAATAATTATATGTACAATTAGCATATTATTCAAAAGCAGAACACTACTTATTAAAATCTGGAAGTTACACCTAAAATTTACACCTAACTAAATACTTAAAACTTGTTTTTTCACTGTAAGCTTTCAAAATCAACACACTGAAAGGGCATACATCATCCCCGAACACTATGAAAAAATTTACACACTTACACATATGGTACTACTGTTTAGTTACCAACCAACTTCATAGCTGTCCAAAAAGCAAATTCCATTCACTGAATAGCATCAGACGCCTACTACGTGCATGGTAGTGTTGCTAGGTGCCAGGGATACAAAGCATAAAGTCCCTACTGAACCCACACTTTCACATACACGCAGTCAACAGAGCAACACCAACTTAGCTCCTTTAAATTGTAAGGCAGATAAAGACTATCCCCCAAAACCATTACTTTAAGGTTTCCTTAAAATCAAGATTAGGTGCAAGAAAACTCGGAGAATTCAAAGTCCACCTTGCAATCCCTGATTGATCTAGAGCAATAAAGCTAAATAAAAGCAAGCGTCCAAAAGCAAAGCAGAAACTGTTTGTTTTTAAAGCACCTACATGGCAGAGAATATATTATTAAGTCAGGTAAAGGAGGGGCTTACACTCCGACTCTCACGAGGAATGTGTCCCCCAATTTGACTTCCTTAGCGACAGAGGGAACCCGGAGTGGGTTCTCACCTCTCCCACGCCAGGACAGAGAGGAGTCCCCAGCTGGGAGCTAGGGAGAGCCACGGATACCCGAGCTGGGGGCAGCGGGAGGCTGTCCCCTACCTAGACAGAGCCCAGGGGAGGGGCAGCCTCCAAGTTTTTAGCCAGAGGGACAAAGGCAGGGAGCTCCGGGCGCTGGGTCGGTCCCGCACACCCTCCCGCGGTTAGGTCCAAACGGGACAGCGGCAGGGCCTTGGGGGGTTCGGGGACCTGGGGAGGGGGAGGGGGTTCGGCCTCCCCGGCTCCTCATCGCCCCCCCCCCGCCCACCCGCCCCTCCTCTCGCTGCCGCCCGCGGGTAACCTGTTGAGGGAGCTCTCCTAACGCCACACACCCCCGACTCCGCCTCTTACCTCCGCCGCCGCCGACCTCCGCCTCCTCCCGAGGGTCGCCGACTCCACCACGCCGTGGGTTCCAGCGGCCCTTACGGTACCGGATCCAGAACTAGAAACTACCGACCCCTCCGCGGCGTCCCCGCCTCCTCCGCCGGCGCTGACCGAGGAACGCCAGCCTTCTCCTCCCGTCGCTCGCCTTCGCGGCCGCAAGGAACTCCACCCTAAGACCGCGCGAGACCACCCCCCCCTTCCACGCCCGCCTCCGTCGTCCTGCGGGGCGCGCGCACGCATGCGCGCCACCGGAGCCCGGGCGGAGCGCGAGCGTACATTCCTCAACCCCCCTTCCCTTCCCTCGGAGCTCGCGCCAGATGCCGGGGCTGCGGCTGCGTAGCGGCGATACCGCTTGGGGGTGGGGATGGGAGTGGGGGGTTGCGGGGGAGGAATCTTGGCGCTTGGTATGGCTCCTGTGGACCGCAGGAAGGAATGCCCGCTATTGGTCCGTTCTTTGGTCAAGAGGGAGAGCGGGGAGGGGGGGCGAAGCAGGTAGCGCGCGCTCTCCCGCGTTCTACCCGGAAACAGCGGAGTGGCGGGAGGAGGTGAGGGAAGGGAATGGCACGGTGGAGGTGTGAAGACCACCCTCCACCCTGTCACTCCCCTTTGGGGAAAATTGGGGGGAACCGTAGAGAGTAAAGAGATTAAGAAAGCTGTGGCTGCAGGAGACCAGCCTCTGCTCTCTTCACCTCATTCACTGGAACTGCTCTTAAACGAGCGACCCCCGCCTAGGAGCCCTGAGTGATGATGCTGAACATCTCCTGCACTGAGTGTAAGGAGAGCCGGGAAAGTCGCAAAGATTCAGCCCCAGGGCCGTCCACGTTTCAGGGCCTTCCTTTTACGTGGATGTCAAGCTGCTGGTATTAGCTTTCACGTTTTTTATTATTTACCATTTTGTTTTTAATAAGTAGTAATAACTTAAATAGCGCTTCACAAATATCTAATCTTCACAGCAGTACTGGTACTATTATTATCTCCATTTTACAGATGAAGAAACAAGAAAATAGAGATTAAGTGATTTATAGCTATTAAGTTTCCAAGGCAGGATTTAATGTTTAATTAAGGCAGGCTAATGTTTAAAATGTTTATTGGTTGCTAACAAGTGAACTGACTCCTGACGCCAAATCGAATTTTCCTAGATTTTTCTGGGAGAGGGAATCAATCTAGCCCCAAAATAATAATAGTAGCTAACATTTTATATGGCATTTTAAGATTTTGCAAAATTCTTTATGTATTATTTTATTTGACTTACACGACCTTGGGAGGTAGGTGCTGTTATCCTCATTTTACAAATTAGGAAACTGAGACTGAGAAAAGTTAAGTGACTTGCCCAGGCAGGATTTGTTATTTATTTGTTCTCTGAAATTGAACCTATCCTTCTTTGATATAGGTTGCAGGTAAGTGATGCAAGTCATCCAGCAAAATCATTTGCAAATCAACTGAGGAAGAAAGTCTGCATTAAAAGACTGAGAGGCCATTAATAACTATACATAGACATGAAGTTATATTATTTATGTCTCTATTATCATATATCATATTTATCATGTACATTATACACATATATTTATATATATATATCTATAGTTACTAATTTGGTTACTGTATAATATAGATATTGTAGATGTATATCATTTATACTATATATATTTCTCATCTATATTTCACATACAAAGGGTATTGCAAAAGTCTTAGTGCAGTCTTAACAACTTAAGACTTCACCAAGACATTTGAAACACCCTCTCTATATATATGTGCGTGTGTGTGTGTATATATATATATACACACATATATATACATATACATATCTATAGATATAGATATGTGTGCTACGAATGCTAAGCCTTTTATTTGCCATGATCCTTTCTTTTGGTTTTTGGTCCATACTTGCTTTCATTGCTGTGGGAAATTTTCTGTGAGAAAACTTCTAACAAAAACAGATTGGCAACTATTCTGAAATTTCTTGTCTTACCAAGTGCTGTGAGAATTGCCTGGGATAACTGAAAGGTTAAGTGATTTGACCAGGCTCACACTTGTCCTTTATGCCAGCGATGGCACTTGGACACAGACCTTCCAACTGCTAGGTATGCCCTCCATCCAGTCTACCAGGGCCTCTCTAAAAACGTCATTCATTTACATTATGTCACCTTACTTGAAAAAAAGTAAATTTATACCAATAGCTCATATTTATGTAAAGAGTATTTACAAAAGCTTTGTGAGGCAGTCTGGATATTATCTCCATTTTTCAGAGGAGGAAAATTAGGCTTAGAGAGGTTAAGGATTTTGCCTGATGTCAGGTAAGATAGAGCTAGAGCATATGACATCTGATAAAGCAGTGCTTAGATTTCACCTTGTAGTCCCAATAAAAGATCCAGTAAGAACATTACAAACTGTTTATAACCTAAAAAACCTTATTCAATAAGTTTTCATTGCCTAGCTGAACAAGTTGTGGTATTTGAATGTAATGGAATACTGTTGTGCTATAAGAAATGATGAGCAGGCAGACTTTAGAAAAACCTGGAAAGACTTACATGAACTGATGCTGAGTGAAGTGAGCAGAACCAGGAGAACATTGTACACAGTAACAGCCACATTGTGTGATGACTAGCTTTCATAGACCTGTCTCTTTTTAGCAACGCAAGGATCCAAGATAACTCCAAAAGACTCGTGACGGAAAATGCTGTCCACATCCAGAAAAAGAACTATAGAGTCTGAATTCAGATAAAGCATATTATTTGCCCTCTCATTTTTTTTTGTTTATTCTTTCTTGTGGTTCCTCCCATTGGTTCTAACTCTTTTTATAACATGACTGATGTGAAAATAGGTTTAATATGAATGTAAATGTAGAGCCTATATCAAATTGCATGCCATCATGGAGTGGAGAGAGGGGAGGAATGGGGAGAAAATTTGGAACTTAAAATCTTATGGAAGTGAATGTTTAAAACCAAAATAAATAAATTAAAAACAAATAAGTTCTGATTGCCATCAGGATTGAGATATCTTTGTGGACTCAAATTTCATGCAACTTACCAGGTAAGATATTAACTGATTTGGCCAGGTGTTGTTGACCTTGCTGTATGCATATCTTCCAAAATAAAATTTTCTGCAACTTAGTTTTTTTTTTTTTAAGATACCTATCTATACCACATGTAACATCTTTGGTTTTCCTTTTTAGTGTTTTTTCAGTGTTTTGTAGTTGGTTATTCTTATCTAAACCTTTATAAATCTAACTAAGAATATTGATATATTCCCTTGCTTTTGCTGTTTCTTGATGTGAGCAAGGGCCTGGTTTGATTTAGTTGTGATTGGGCAGTCTGGCTACTTCAGAATTTGTGTTATGTAAATTAGGGTCATCATATTTATATTTAAAACCAAAAGTTAAGCTATTTAGAAAAAAAATTATGAAAAGCCTAGTAGAGCAAATAACAGAATTATACCTCAAAAGTTATTAGCTATTATTTATTTGAATCAATTACATTAATGATAACTTTATATGTGATCATTGCCATATGGTATAATGTAGCCACTCATTCCCTGTCATTTTTCAAAATTCTGCCTTCCTATTCATAGTTGTAAGTAAGGTGAGTTTTAGTGTGTGTAAGGAGGATTTTGTTGTTCCTCTTTAGATAATAGCCCAGGATCCTAGATAATATTTCCCACGAAATTTGGTTGAAAACAGCTTTTACCACGAAGTCACAGTAGAGATGTAGGGGTGTCATAATGTATACCTGTGCTGTGCTAGGTCATGACAATATTGCTAAAGTTAACCTATGATGCTATTGTTGGCAATATGCCTTCTTTGTCTGTTGCCCTATAAAGCAAGTGAGCACTAGTCAGTAAGTGGGAATTTTGGGATTTGGGTAATGCATAGAGGAATGCATGTACCTGCCTTGATCAGCCCCCATCAGGGCTTGGTGAAATCTCTGAGCTTGCCTCAACGAAACCTATAACATACAACTGGACCCCATTGAGGTTTAGGGGAGTGGTAGAAGTCATAGTTCCTACCATTCTTGTCCACCCGTTCAAGAAGCATGATTAGAGAATGCTGTAGGAGTTGGAGCTCCCATTATCAGCCATCCTTTTGAGAAGGCTAGACTAGAATAAAGTAAGCTTATTTAATCCCTCAAGCTGCCTTCCTATCAAAAGTGAACCTGTGCTAGAACACCTGTTGGAGTTAGGAGCCCTCCTATGTTCTCCTGCTCAACAAATGACGTTACGTGTGCGTTTACCTGTGAAACAATAGTACAAGCCAAATGGCCTTTAGCTCCCTTTACTACTTCAGTTAGCTCAAGAGCTACATTTCCACCTTTACTGTGCAGATACATCTGATCCCTAGGGGCAGCAGCCACACCCTTCCTCCCCACTCCACCCCAGAGTAGCCCTGAGAGGTTGGAGTGTCTTTTCTACTATTTTAGCTCTCAGGACTGGACCCATGTTCTTACTCCCAAGATGATCAGTTAATATCAGTTCACTAGCCAGACTTAATTAGCTGTTAGGAACAGGTAGCTGCTATGGTGGAATAGTTGATGCATTTGGTACAAAACATCCTCCCCAAACCTGGCCTCCTAGTCTGCACCACAATTGCACAGTAGTGCATGGAGAGTCCACGGAAAAGTGGACACAAGCACATGTGTCAAAGGGGATAATTTACAGTTCCTAGAAGTCCTTTTGTGGAGTACTCACGGAGTTCTTCTTGTGTATGTTACAACTTTTGTTGGGATCCTCAAATCTGCCTTTCCTCTTTGTATCCATTCTGTTCTCGGTTCCATATACAGAGGATGTCGCCAGTGGCTGTTGTTATGTACTCCAGTGAAATGCTAAGACTCCTTAGGAAAAAGGAAATCCACAATCTTTCTCAGCCATCAAAGTGCGCAAGTTCCTCCTGTGACCAAAGAAGGGGTGGGGGAGAAGAAGAGACCTAGGTAAAGGCCAAGGAAGGCACCCTCCTCCCCACAAAGTGATTGCTTCTCCCAAGTTTCTCTCTTCCCTTCATTTCCAGACACAAATCCCAGATTGCTGTAGGATCCTAGCTAGCTCATTGGTTTTGTCCAGTTCCAACAGGTTGTGAACAACACCCTCAGAAAATCTAAACAGGCTTCTTGTTTGACCTGGAAAGTTGTTCAGGTTCTGTTCACCCACA